TAGAAATAAAAGCAACAAAAACATTGACTTTCACTAACAACGCAACAACAAGGTTACTTGGCAGTGTTGAAGAGATTTAGAATTCAACTGCAGGAAGAAATCAAAAACATTAAGAACGGGCTTAGTATAAAAGGAGTGTTAAAAAGGATAACAATTATTACTAAGAACTGTTTGTTGTTGCAGTAGTACAAGTAAGTACAAGGGCTGGCAAATATAACAAAGAAATTCATCAAGATTTTTTCCTTGTATTCTTTGATCCCTATTTTTTCTTTCTTTTCATGGTCTAGTTAAAAACAAACACAAATGGCTTTCAATATTAATTTTCTGAACATACAACAGAGACTTTTAATCACTGCCATTTAACACAAAAAAATAGCCACAAAACATTCCTTCACACTGCTCCAATCACATACTGATTTTTTTTAACGATCTCGATAAAATTTGACTAATTGCACAACCCTAACAAGTACTACAATTTTAAAACGCTTTCAAATATCCTTCTACGTCTTAGTCCCAAACTCACTTTCCCAGTCTTGGGGTTGTTTTCCACCATTTCATGTTAGATCTGAATTCCCCCCCCAAACGCTTCTATCATTTCTGTGATGTGAGATAAGACCACCATGTGTTATCAGGCTGCAATAAAAAAAAAACACGGAAATGCATTTAATTTGCGTCTCTACTGGAATAATTAGGCCATTTATATTCCACACTTCATGATTTAAGAGAAGAGCGAGCAGACGAGGAGGAAGAGGAGGTGGTCGGGGGGAGTCGATATTGGGACTATACATGCGGTAGAGGCAGTTCACCCATCAGCTTGTCCCAGTCACTTTGCAGCTATGATTTATGTATGGCCTTGCTACATGGCTTCACTAGGTACCACTGTAATATATCCCACTCACTGCTATTCATCCTCCCCTTGATAACCCCAACATGCACGGGAACTCCGTCTTAAATCACGTGCTGTCACTGTCACTGTCACCTAGGCCCTCCGCCGAGAGACACTGCGAACGTGCTCGTGACCCCCCAAACCTACCCCCCACCTCATCAACAAACCCCAAAATACCCCTCCACGTGAACACAGGAGGCACTGACTGGCACTTTGACCCCAAACTGACAACCTAATACCAGTTTGGACTTGCCATTGCTCATTTTTATACCCCTCCACATGTGCTGTTTACAAAGAGGGGCATGAGAAATAGAAAAGGGTCCTATGCTTTTTCTGTCTTTGTTTAAACAGCGGGTGAATCATTAGTGCTAATTTGGCGGCTAAATTAGATTGTTATGTAATGATCCGTCCCTTGCTCTGGAAAATTCTTCTAGCTTTGATGCACTTAAATCCTGCTAATTTCATTGGGGGCTTACTAAAACAAAGACGGCAAGCCCTTTTGGATATAGGGTACCATGTGTTAGGCAAGTTAATGAACAAGTAGAGTTGTAAATATGAAGTAGGTAGACAAAGGAAATCATATCAACAAAAGTAAAAGGGTCCACAAGAATGAAGCCAGATTTGTCTTTATCTAGGGTTCTGGCCAAAAATTAAATATAGTATCGAATAGAAAAAAAATAGTCATTTTTTTCTGCTTTAGTCCTGGTTTAGTTTTAATTCAGTCCTAGTTTAGTCCCAGCTTTGAAATAGCGATTGTTTTTGTGTGAAGGCACCCAGTTCATTTTCATTTTCCCTATTTTATACTCCAGGTTTCCAATTTTTATCCACACGGCTCCAAGAAATTGTCTGCACAGTGGGCAGAGTTGGATACACAAAAAAATCCTTTGATCTAATTTTTTCTTCATTGTTTTTTCATTAACAACAACAAAAGAATAACACTTTCTTATTATTATAGCACTTTTTGGTAAACCAGGTGTTTTTCGCACTTCCTTGTAATGCTGCAGATAAAGCTCCGAGATAATCTGAAAAACCACCAATGGCTTTTTACATGTGATAAAAAAAAAAAAAGTATATTACTCTTGAATCCCCAGACAGAGCTTTTGAAAGGGCAGCACAGAAATGATCACTATCTAAAAGTCACATGTCTACCTTTGCCTGAAACCCCAGACCTTTTCTGTCCCATTTAAATGCAATACCCTTCGATTCCTGTTAATAACCTTGTGTATTTTTATTCCTCATACATTTGACCTTGCTATACAGCTCTACTCACCACTCTATTACTCCATTGCCCTGTGGTTCTCCCAGTCCCTTTTTCCCATTTCCACCTTGACATCTCTTTCTGGGGAAGTTCTTGCCCAATGGTGTGTGAGCGGTAATTTGTCATGTCTCTGTAAGCGGAACCAAGGCAAGATGGCAGCAGCCCCAGGGCACTAGCCTGTAGTAGGTGTACCTGAACCACCATCACTGGCACTTACATAATAGCAGGTTCAGGGAATGGAGGCAGTTACAGTTATAGCTGAAACCCGGGCTACAGAAAATAAAAATGCATTAATCATGACAATACCTTGAGCAGACCACTTCCATTACATCAAGAAGTAAGGGAGAGCCTCTTAAGAGATGCCTATGCGCTGTACATGCGATAGCTGACGTTGCATGATGGGTTTGAGGAGAAGTGGTTTTGGCATTCTGAGCAGCAGGCTCCCAGCTAAAGCTCCCAAGGAATCACCAAGCATGCAGGACATCCACGGCCCTTCCTTTGACAGGGTCAGCTCCATGGAGAGATGCTTTCGTCACAGAGCGCCTTGAAACTGTGGCTGAGAAAGAATGTGAACTTGCTTGGCAAAATAAGATGGCATGGGAAAATATTTTGTGGCTTTTTTGAGGGGAAATTAAGGAAAAATTTAACCGAGGCAATAGTGCTTATCTAGACACATTATCCATGTTTGACCCTGGCTGGGTTACACAACATGATCTCACTGACAGGACTGTCTCTGCCAACAGACATCACCTTACAGTGGCAATGTCGCCTGAACATGGCAAACCAATTATAGAAGAGGAGGACATAAAAGAGGGGAAATGCAAATGGAGTGATAAAAGCCCCCTGTGTGGGAAGAATGGAGGGGAGTATGGACAGCCACATGAGAGAGGCTAGCGGGCTCAGCTGGGAGGTGAGAAATAAAAAGGGGGTTATCGTTATAGTAAAAAAAGCACTATCTTCACGCGTATCTGCCTTATGCATTCTCTTTTCACTCTGCTCTCATCTATTCAATTCACTTCGTACATATTTTTCATCACAAGATAAGCCTTTAGGTTCTTCTTATATCATATGACAGGTCACACACTCCATACTTAATGTATCTGCTAGGGAAAAGGCATTTTCTTTCTCTTGCAGCAGAATCCCATAAGGAGAACAGTGTTAGAAAATGACAGGAATATCACACTGGAGGCAATGTGTGGTGTGATACCTCAACAGGCCAGCGCCGTCTCAAGGGGTTTGTTCACGAGGAAAAGCAAAACACAATGGGGGGATGGAGAGAAGGTATACAGCGCCATTCCAAACAAGCAAATCAATAGCCGGACATATCAATTGCTACCACAACCTGCAATACCTAAACAACATAATTTTAGATGCTCTTGCAAAAAAAAAAAGTTATTTACATCGGTTTGGTCAGCAAAAAAAAAAAAAGTATTTGCAAAGAGTTATTTATGTAGCCAGAGCTTTTTTTAACACTTCAATTTTGTCCTTTTTTGTCATTCTTGATGCAGAAGCTGTCCCTCCTAGCCACTCCCTCCCGTTGTATGCCCTTTACAGAAAAGGAGACGAGGACAGAAGCAGGGGAGCAGCTGCGGTGGGGTATCCTGCTGACTGATGCCTGATGGAGCCCCGGGGAGGGTCACTTTTTAGGCTTGGTCGAGTGTACACGCTGCCCCTGGATGCACAGATAAGCAACATGCCTTTATAGGAAAACAAGTTTCATCAGCAGAGCATCATCTACACATAATTATGGCAGGTTTAATGAGATTAGCCCCACCAGTTGTTTTGCTAGAGCTATGTTTGGAAACCTTATCAGAACCCAACATCGCGGCTGTTTATCTCTCAACAGCAGCAGGGATGCTCCACAGTGATTATTACTATAGAAAGCTTTGGGGAAAGAAGGTGAAAGAGAAAGATATGAATTTTAATGATACATTTTAAGAGGCAAAAAGCTGGCTCATATGAACTTTGGAGACACAACCATAGTTTACTTTCTATCCAAAGTAGGTGGCTCACTTTATTTATGGGGAATCTGGAAAAATGTCATGGGCCCATCTCTAAATAGGCCTAAGCAATAAACTAGATATGCCCAATAAAAAGTTTCATTTATAGAAGAATGTAAGCTAATAGCCTAGTACACACCATTCTTGTAGGCCAATGTTTCTCAGTTTTATTATTACAATAATAGGCTATAACCTATTATATATTATTATATAAAAATATATATTGTAATAAAACTTGTGGGAAATCTTATTGCTAAATAAAATCCAGGCTATATTTGAACTACTTTAAAGACCCAGTCCGACCTACTCACTGAAGCCTACAGTTGGCACAGTTTATGGCGATGATTTGAACATCACAAATGCGAGTGCGGAACGTCGCTAACTGCTCTCAACTGTCTAAAAGGACGTGATGACAGTGCAGGGCAACAGTGATGTTTTGTTCGCTGCTTTTGGACTTGTGATTGGTTGTAGCGCATCTTTTCAGCAGCTCCCTCTCTCTCTTTGACACAAACAGAGTCGCTCGCACCGGCAGTAGTGAGAGTGCGCGGGGGAGCGGGAGCGCTGCTACTGCTGCTGTTTCATCGCCCTCCGCTTGCTCCTGTGTGGTCTGCGCGCTACAGCCGGGATGTCCTTTTCTCTCACGCCGCCGTTGCTAAGGAAATGGATGGCTCTTTGGCATCCGCGGACCGGGCTCGGTTCTTCGTGTCGCCCCCTCAGCCTCAGACCACTGCCCCTCGGTTTGTGACCACTGAGTGTTTACAGGAATCACTGCGAACAACGTGACGCGTCAGCGCCAGCTCTGCACCAGCCGGGGTGAGGGATTATTTCTCCTGCTTTCTCAAGCTCGGAACATAATGGACCCACGAACTGAGGAGTTACGCATTTATTCACTCGAATTTAAGGAGACCTGACTGCAAAATACTGGACTAAAACGAGCCTGTAAGTCTGACAATATTTTACGTTTAGCGACAAAGTTTAACAACAAACTCGGATTAAAACTTGGAGTCAACAATGAAAAGGACTGTCACAAGATCTATGGATAGTTTATAAGGTGAATATAATTAAGTTGAGGGGGCACTGCAGCTTTAAGTCCACATTGCTTTTGCAAATACCACTAACTCATTTGTCCCTCTCCAATATCAGCTATGGGGCTCCTGTAGGTAAAGGAGCAGACAGCACACAGAAAATATACCTTGCACAACATCCTTTAGAGTAGTGTTCACCTCTGTGCTTCCATTACTCATGCCTCATGCACATCTCTTTTGTTTCTATCCAAGAAAGTGTGCTCCAGTGAGGACGACCAGGAACGAGGACCAGGGTTTTATTACAGTCTCCTCTGCTTCAAAGGACAACAGACTGGGGATTTGACAAGCATCTGGACAACGAGGAGAGGAGGATAGTGTCCAGGCAGGGAGTCGTGCCTGGTTGTGCCTGATGAATGCTGCCCGCTGAGGACGGGGGCTGAGGCACAGAGGGGACTGAGCAGAGCATGGCATCTACAGGCATGCAGATCTTTGGATTTGTCCTGGCTCTCTTGGGCATCTTTGGGGCCATGGTGGCCACTGTGTTGCCCAACTGGAAGGTGAGCGCGGACGTGGGCTCCAACATCATCACGGCCATCTCTCAGATGCAGGGGCTGTGGATGGACTGTACCTGGTACAGCACAGGAATGTTCAGCTGTACTCTAAAGTACTCGGTACTGTCCTTACCTGCATACCTGCAGACCGCCCGGACCACCATGGTGCTGTGCTGTGTGTTAGCTGCCCTGGGCCTGTGTCTGGCTTCTATAGGACTCAAGTGCACGCGTTGGGGAGGAGGCCGCCGGTCCAAGCGACATGCTGCCATAGCCAGCGGAGGGTGCTTTGTTGCTGCAGGATTTTTGTGTCTAGTGCCCGCTTCCTGGTTTACCAACGAGGTCATCACCAACTTCCTGGACTCTAGTGTGCCAGAGAGCAATAAGTTTGAGCCTGGAGGAGCTGTGTACGTGGCTTTTGTTTCAGCAGGCTTTCTGTTCATGGGGGGATTTATCTTCTGTATGTCATGCTCGGGGAAGAGGCACGGCCCTCAGGACATGGTCCTTCTCCCTCCCCCAGACAAACTCCTGCTTCAGCAGCAGCAGCAGCAGCTGCTCCAGCAGGAGCTGCAGCATCAGTACTGCTCGCTCTCGCCCTTAGACAATAAGACGGGCTACAGCCTGCAGGACTATGTGTAAAACAGCACCTCTCACTGTGTACGCTACAGCTAAAAGGAGAGAGGCCGGAGGGGAGTGTGATGCTCGCGCGTCACATTCGGCTTTACTCCAGGTAGAGGAGGAGTAACAACCAGGAGGGCAACAACTCCATTCATTTATCCTGTTTGATGTTCTCACTCCTCTCTTCTGTTTTGCAAGCACAAGCAGAGAAGGTATTCCCAAAGCAGAGTGTTGGAACAAACAGTGAATGTGTAAGGAGCCGCTGTTATGGGGCTGCAGAGTCGAAGGGAGCCACTAACCAGATGCAGACATCCTTCATCAGTAAATCACTCAAATTGTTCCCTGGAGAATGGATTAAGCAAATAAGGAAAGCCTTCCGTGTAGATTTTTTCTCACCAAAGGTTTGAAGTAGAAGAAGAAGCAATCATTTAGCTGCTATTTACAATCGTTTGTATCTCTTATTTAACAAAGTAGGCAAAATATAGCCTATAAAATGTCAGTAGACATGATTTCATAGCAAGCCATTATAGTGTTTTGTATATTCACTATAGACTGATATGCAGATCTGATTGAAATAAATGGTCATATTTTTGTTAGCTAGTAGAATGATATCGATATTTTGCCTCTAAAGCATGCCGTGTGAGCCTGATGGTGTATTAATACAGCGGAATGCCTGGTAGAGTCCTAGCCACACAATGCCTGTGCCTGAAAAGCTGTAGAAACATGACCCTGCTGTAAGTGTTCAAAGCGGACTGTCAGGAGGACTATGTGGGCTGCTGGACTGGAGCTGAGGAGGCAAATGCAGACAAACTGCCTGCCTCGCTCTATGCTAGTGGAAATATGAGAAAGATGGAGAGAAGAGGTTAAGAGGACAGACAGAATGGACAGTTTGATAGGTGCTCATAAACAGAACACCCTGGCTGTAAGTACCTGAGCATTAGAACCCAAGTGTATGCGTGGACATGCATATCACCGCTCACACACGTGCTCAAGTGTGTGCTCCTTCTCACAGTAAACACTCAGACATGCTCGCTTTCTGAATGTGCTTTTCTGCCCCTTTTCATCCTCCTCCACACTGCCATGGAAACAGCATCCGTCATTCAAACATCTTTATTGTCTGCCAGTTTGTGCTTGTCAGCTAGTGATTTCAACTTGTTTAAGGGGGGATTTTCATAAGCTTTAATCAGAGCCACTTCTCGCTGCACTTTGCCTAATCCCTTTTATTACTCAGTGGCGTGAAGCGACATCCTTGTTAGGTGGTCAGAGGTTTAGAGAAATATACTTATTTACAATGCTCTGCTGTTGTGTCTGGGCCAGCTGCTCGAGGAGAGATGAACAAATGTTTAATGGTGCAGTGGTAAAGACGCAAAAACACAGCAGAGAGAGGGAGAGGGTTCTTGAGTCATGCTTGAGTGAATAGCTGCCTGGCAGGGGGCTAAAAAAGGTTTGAGTCATTCTCCATATGTCATTCGGTTTCCAAGCAAGTGAGTGGAGTGCATAAGCCACCAGTCCCCACCTGTGAAAGGTCTCAGGGTCCTGCATTTTAGCCGCTTCAATACGCCACACACACCATTCCTCATTTTACGTTTGATCGGCGCCTTTTATTTTAAAGCCGCCCTCTGTGGCCTGCCTGTGTCAAATGTCACATAGACGGGGTAGGTGAAAGTGAAGAAGGTAAACGCATACAGAATACAGAGACTACACTAACAAGGCAGCAGCAGAGGCAGAGGAGACCAGACAGACCTTGGCAGTGATGTACAGAAGCGCATGTTCTCTCCGTCTCTCTCATAAACATACAGCGTCCTGGGGGAGAGCAGATGGCTAGGCACAGATCGCCACCTGCAGGTCGCTGCCGGCACACCACTGGCATCTCTGCGGGCATTGGTCACCAGAGCCAGTTTTCCGCCCCTCACTGTCCAGCCATCTTTCACAGCCAACAAGACTGGCCTCCTGACAATAACTGCCCAGGCACCATAACCAATGCAATAAACCAACGTAAAGAATGTGCCATGTCATCAGCTAATACTGACACTTTATGTATTCCAGAGAATGTGCCAAATCCTTTCACAGTGACTGCTTTGATTACTACTGTCTGGATATGTTTGGGGTTATTTTTCTATTGCGTTGTTTGTACATGAATTATACATTTGCAGATGTTTTATGGATTTGTGATTTGTTCTGCTGGACTAAGTCTCGAGTCGACTAGATGCTTGTGTACAGCCCAGTGCAGCTTCCGAGGGTTAGTTTAAATCCTCTTTAGACCTCATTCCCCAAAGCACAGCAAGACTTTTCAAAAGCCCAAGTGTGACAGCCTTGAGTATGGTGTTTGGCGAGTTATTAAAATGTATTTGATTCAAGTTCACTGCAGGTCTGTGAAACTGTACACAAGTATCTATATGTAGTATGAATTACATAATATATCCAACATATATAGATTCAATATCCTGTTCATATCTTCTTTATAAGAAGACTGCTCAGTGCACCTTTGTCTTCTTTGTTTGACCACAGTTTATTTTACATGGCTAAGCATTCCAAGCTTCCAGGACCAGTACCACACAAATGGCACTCTGAAAAAGGGAGCAAATTTGACTGAACAGGATTTAGGGTGACGTAGAAGCTAGAGTTTCTCTTTTTATGTGGCTGTGCTGCTTCATCATCAGCAAGAAATTTAATTAGCTAATAAATGTCCAGAGTGCAAAGTGACTAGGTCCTTAAAGAGCTGCAACCCCACTGCATACACTGTACTGAAATATTGAGTAATGGTTTTGGATGAAAACTGCAGCTTATTTTTGTGGATGCTTTAGCACTTTTTACTTTGCCGGAGAATATTTGTGATGATGAACGGTTCACAAGTTCTGATACACACTTGTCTCAATGTGCTTGTGCAAGTAGTTCTATTTTCTACCAATAAAACTATTTTGTGGAAGCACCATGCTTACTTTATTATTGTGAGTATTGTGAAGCCTTATGCGCGTGTGGATATTAAGTGCCAAATGTACAGACTGTTGGATGGTACAGGCTGTGCTGGGCGGAGGTGGGCATGCTGCTCACAGGTTGTCCCGCAAAGAAAGTAGCCTGGTCCAACTAATTCCTTCTTAAAATATGACCACATGCAGGTTTTAAATTTTAATATCTTCTTTTTACTGGGAAAGAGGTTTGGAGCAAGTTTAGATTTTCTGAGATTTTCTGAGTCTAGTCATCATTAAGAGAGTCAGTTTTTAAACCTCCCAAAAGATCAAAAACTTTAACAACCAACAGATAATCAGTTTCATCAGTAAACAGCACTGGTCATATTTTGTTTTCCTGAGATAAGTGAAATAAGTTTTGATAAGATGGCAAATTTAAAGCCATCAATGTGCTATGTTACAATGATCAGTTATGCTCAATTCCCATATTGCTTTCTATGTACAAAGTTACCTCCCAGTAGCACTTGAGTCCTCATTAAAACTGATGGGCATACAGACTTTTCATACATTCCTAAAACAAACTGGATTATTTAACACTTTTTTCTTACTCTCCAAACTCCATTTGGTTATCCAACAAGAGTGCAGATCAACTAATCCTCGCTCTCATGGGGAAAAACTAATAAGTCCCGCTCCTCTGTGTTTTTAACCTACATTTTTCCATCAAAGAATCTCCACCCAAATCTCCCCACAGCTCTCAAATACCAGCTCAAGAGAGGTGAGGGGGAAACGTGGGGGTTAATCACTTGGATTTTCCTCACATGGCAAATCCAGAGATTATTTTATTGACCTATTCTAACCTGCCAATAGCCTTTTACAAACCAGCAAAACAAAACGCAAAGACAATGTATTGCTGAGTCTGCAGAATAGCAAGCAGCATAGTTGTCATAGAGGAGACACAAAGAGTATGTTAAAGACAAGTCTGTCACTTCACAAAACACCATAACCGACTGCCCTGCCTCTATAGAACAAACAGAGCCATGATGTCAGCCTGGTAAATGTAACACACTTTGGATAGCCATTATGTGTACATAGGTCCGTACTAGAAAACTAATGCAACCATCAACTTGCAGTTAGAATGACCTTTTGTTGGCTCGCCTCTTCCAATGCTATGAGGCCAGGGAATAATAGCGATGACCTTGGCAGTGTGCTAAACTGCTGAGAAAGGCAGTAAAGGCTATGGAGATGACAAAAGCAACGCTGGCGAGGAAAAACAATGCACCCTGACAGTTCAAAAGGAGGAGCATTAATATTTCAGCTCTGAGTGCGGGGTGAGGTGTTTGGATGGAATTCGTAAAGCTAAAGGTGAAGGAGGCTAAATGTTTGTAGGTTAGAAAAAACATATGCTTTCTGGAAAATAGTATTTCCTCTGGCAGACATATACAACTATTACTGGGAAAATGGTTGGTATATGGTTAAATATGTTTAGTGTGGTCATATCTCTTCAGCCTTAATAAACATTTGGATAAGGTATACGCAGTCTGAAACAATTATAATAAACTTCAAACCAAAACACTTTGTTAAATCAGAATGCATGAATCTAACTCTTATATATGTAACAGTCTATTAAAGGTGGCCATAAAGTCACAATAAATTCAAACTTTCCATAACTCCATAAAGATTCATATCTCTTTTTCATACATTTACAACCATTTTGCCGCTAAGGGGGTTTTCTATACAGAATTTGCCTTTGCTTGAAATAAATGATTTGACGTCACACCTGCATATTTTCCTTTGCATGCACCAACTAAAGTGTGCTGAATCTGCTCAAAACTGCAGTGCTGACAGTGTGCAAAGCGGCACAGTTACCTGTTTGGGAGGAGCAATACATCTCCAGAGATGCTCTCGAGTCACCTTTGCCAACACCGGCATTTTATTATAGTTAGGAGATGGAGGAGAGTATTTTTAGCTTTCTTCTCCTTCCTGATGTATTGAGACCAAGCCTTCAGGCATTCGCAGCGCTGGTACAAAGTTATTGAAATTGCGTTCCAGACACACTCTTGGTCCCATGTTTGACCTCGTTTACGAGAAAGGAAAGGGCTGTAGATGAATTGTGTGTATGGTAGGAGGTGAGAAAATGCGAAGAGGCCAAGTCGATTCCCACTCATTCCACGGAGGTAAAGTGCTGGTCACATCAGGTCACAGAGGACACATCAATCACACCGCCCAACCAGTCTATTACAATGGACTTCAGCAGGCCCTACTCAACGGTCAAGTGGACTATGGAATTCAAGCAATAATTATTCCGATTCCTTAAACACTAATAGGCAGAACAGAGTAAAACTGCTGTAATTATTTAATTATTAACTAAAAAAGATCAAATCCAGTCACAGAGGGGTTAAAGCAAGTGTGACTTTTCTGCTGGTCCAAAGATCTGATAAACAAAGTGAGGACAAACTGTATAATTACCATACATGGAAAAGAAAACCTGCACAGTTTCTAATCTATTACAGGTTTGTATTACAATAGGAGTCTAGCAAAGTATGGAGCTGTGGGTAGTGTGAAATATGGAACAGAAGGGCAAGTGCAAATCCTGTCAAATGATTTAGAATGAGCCTTATTGTGGATGTTTAGCACATTAGTCCTAACTCTCCTCATCTGCCAAGCATAAAGGATGCTCAATGCAGCATTAACAAATGTAATTTTGGATGTGCTCATCTGGCCGATGGTCCTAGACGCTGGTGTACAAGGCAAACATCTGTAGGCCTCTCCTCCTATGAGGCTCAGAGTGGAGGGTGGGACATGATGCTGCAGCCATTACTCAGTGCCAGCTGACGACTGGCCCAGACAACCATCTGCTGGAGGTGCGCCTCACTCTCCCTTCAGCTCCATCTCTGTCACCAATCTGTCTTCTGAACCTGTCTATTCACAGGGAATATACCGAAACTATTCTTCATTGGTTTTGCTTTCCATTCACAAAGAGACATAAATAATATTGATATTTCTTTTTAGTTAATTACATTACAATTTAATTTGAAAAATGACAATATCTTACATTACTAAAACCACTTATCTAACCGTGGTTGAATTAGTATTTTTGATCGCTGAATAAATCTAAATGGCCTGCAGTTTAAACGTGCTTGCTATGCAAAAATGTATGTAATTTGATTTCTGGTGTGATGCACAAAGAACAGAGCCAAGGCAGACTGGAGCAGACCCTTCCCTCTCCTGTTTCTTATGTAAAGAGGCTGTGAAGATGAACCTGGATGTTGAAGACGTAGAGGTGGTTATCACGGGGATGTGCACTCAAAACCCCTTCACCTCTGCGCTGAATATAAATGAGACATCACAGAAGCTGTTTTTCTCTATTAACCACTCCATAGATGCTTGTGATATAGCTGTGATTGACAAGGAAGACCGCTCTGATTGAGGTCACTCAATAATCTGTATGTTTATGTGTGAATTAACACGGAGGCTGAGAATAATGGGGCGGGGGAGGCAGGTGTGATGTGCGGCAGGACAGACACAGGGCACACGGAGCCTCAGGGAACTCCATCAAAGCAGCCAATTGCCACTCTCAGAAACCTTCAAGGACAATCTCAGTCACTCAATGTGACACAGGAGAGGTGCAGTCCGGGGGCGAGCCAAAGGAACAAGACAGACAGATTAAACAGCACGGATAAGAGCCGATCTGCCCACTCTGCATCGATATGCCGCTAATGTAAAATGGATTCAACATTTCCTTTCTCATTAACTCATCAGCCACCATAAGTCTGTTCCTAGGTTAAACTCAAGCAGCCAATCAAGCTCCTTCTCCCAACCCCCTGCCTGTGACTGAACTGAAGCCGTTCTAATTATGGTTATTTGAAAGGGTTCACTAGTTTCATTGCTCTACAGCCTCTGTTTGATTACACACACATATCTAACCCACTTCGCATGTTTTTCACACGCCACTAATTACTCTATATAGCTTTGCACCTGCAGCTGTGGATTCACTAGAGAGAAAGATAATTCAAAAGCAATGACCTAACAATTACTTCAGCACACCACTATTCTACAAACTATATACTGGGCTTCCACTCTTCCAGTGTGGCATATAGAACTTGATACCCCAGTTTAATTTGAACCACTCCACTCCGTCTAGCTATGTTGGCATTCAGACTCAGACAAGTGGTGGGCTAGGAGAAGTCGCTCTGGTTTAGCTCAATATTCAGTACAAGTCAAGTCAATATTCTTTTGTCTTCTACCATCACCCTGTCGAGCAGCCTATGACACAGCCCTGTAAATCAGGTTAGGCATTTTTATAGCCTATGCAATTCGATGTAATTACTCAACTGTGAAACCGTAAACAATGCTGACCTATAAGGCTTTTATGTATAATACAACGTGACATACCAGTAAAAACGAACATCCACAATGCAGTGAGATAATATTAATATAGTCCATGGAGCCTCTACTCTTTTATAGGACCGCAGCAGCAGGAGGCCTACTCATCAAACAGCCATCATCTCTGCTAATGATATCAATCCTACCAAGTGGCCATTAAAACATTTAGTCAGATGGCCCGGATGAGCTGGTGGGAGGGGCCATTTTATCTGCAGTTATGCCTGCACATGCAGTGAGGCTGTTCTCTTTATAGAACACTGTTCTTACTGTTGGAATATCAGCATGTGTTACTGCACAACACAAAATGGATCTAAACAAAATAAATTACAGTGGCTCTGAAATAAGACAGACCAAAGTAAATGTACAGAGAGACAGCTGAGTCTGATAAAATAATCATTGCTGCCATCTCTTCTAAGAGAATGAACAATCAGCACTGGTCCTATTCACTCCACTGCATTTACTCCACATGCCACATGAAATATTTATCAACAGTGGCTCTCCTAAAGAGCAGTGACATCTTCAAGGGACCAACAGCCCAACTCTGACACCACGTTAACACCTCGCCTTTATTTCAGGGAAAGGAAAACATGGTTTCATTTGCACGAGGATGTAAGAAAGCTCAGAAGTGTGCTTAACAAACTCCTCTGTGATCTCCTGTCATCTCAGAGGAACAGGGAAATAGCCAGTACTGCTAGTCCAAAATTCAAAGCCCCTTGGTCGTACACTCTCACTTTTTCCTATTATGCAGAAGCTTGAGACTTAAGTGTTACTCACAGGTAAACAGCATATAAAAAGTACTGGGAACAGCCTGATTAAACAACAGCTTGAGTACCCACTAGACATTGTTAATATAACCTAAAAAGACTCTAAAGATAGAAACAGCACAGATTCTACACAGCCTTAATGAAGCCACAAGGAAAGAAGAGGTATGAGTGATGGTGGCAGCATGAGGGACTAGTCGTAGGATCAGGAGACTAGATCAACAGAGCCTAGATATAGAATTTTCCCTTTTCTGAGAAAAAGGTAGAGAAACCAAAGATATAGTCCAACTATTAGGTTATATTGGCTTTGTGTTACACTACAGTAGTTTTCAAATAATACTTTGTTTAGTTATTTTTCCAAACAAAATGTATACTATGACATGAGCATATGAAGTATTACTTCAGTATTCTAGTACTAATACTTCTATATACACTGTAGAAACTATGTGTAACCTACCTCTGGTTTAGGGACGAAGGCTCGGCCAGGGATAGTGAAGCAGCTGTGCACAGTGCAGAGATACTGAGACATAATGGACAGACGACTCCTCTGTCTGCTGCTTGTGCTGGCTGTTAGGCGCTAAGAAGATGAGAATGTTTTGTTATTAACGAGTTTGACACCATAGACTGTATTTATAAATGGACATAGCTAATGTGCTAACCACCACGTTCCAAATAGGAAGTTTGCATGTGGGCACTTTCGGCTCCTACTGACCCTGGCTCCTATTGACTTACATATTGGAATATTGTCACCCCTCTTTCTGTAACTGCTGCTGTGAGCCTCATCAGTTTGATCTTAAAATGTCCATATTAAACTGCTCTACATGATCCTGGTTCACATTGCATATTTCATATGATTAAACTCTATTCGCAGGTGACGTCACACTCACTTAGTTCACTTCTTTATACATTATATGTTTGACACATTTTAAAGACAAGGTGCGTTCTCATATGTATTGCTCATTAAGTTTTAAGGCTTGATTCAGACCCACCTCTGCCACCTCTTTCTGGAAGGTGAGCGTGAGTTGAGTGCGGCCAAAGCTGAAAGGCCCAGTTCTATTGGCCACATGCTCCAACCACTTGATAATCAGAGGCGTTGATACACTAAAAGGAAGATTTCCAATAATATGGAGGTTTGGAGGATCTGTTCAAATACAAACATAAAAATAAGCTTTGTGCAAATTAAAAAGACAAAATGCTCCTGTTTTATTTCCTCACCTTCATCCCATCGCTTACTGATTTTTCCTGGGAATCCTCTGTCCATTCTGTAGGTGAGAATGTCACCATGAACTATTCTTAACCTTCCTGGGGCTGCCTCAGACAATAACTGCCAAAGATACATGACAACACATTTTTATTGAATATTCTCTAGATAGTGATTAATTATGTAACACTTAAATCAAATTTATGATACATCCATAATTATAAGGATCAAAGTTACTATA